AACAAAAGCCATTAAAGAAGCACCCAAACCTGAAAATACCCAACAACTAAGAGCTTTTTTTGGGCTTGATAAATTACTATGCAAAGTTCATAGGGAATCTGTCTGGTAAACTATCACCACTGTACAAGCTGCTACAGAAAAATGCAACTTGGCACTGGGGTAAACAACAAGATACTGCTTTTAATACAGCAAAAGAGGCTTTGTCTTCTGACACCTTACTAACTCACTATGACCCAGGGAAAAGACTTATATTAACATGTGATGCTTCACCAGATGGTGTAGGAGCAGTCTTGTCCCACATGGATGAGAAGGGTGACAGACCCATTGCTTTTGCCAGTAGATCTTTGAACCAGGCTGAGAAAAATTATTCTCAGTTAGATAGGGAAGGCTTAGGCATCATTTTTGGTGTTAAGAAATTTCATAAGTTTCTGTTTGGTAGGAAGTTCACCATCTTTACAGATCATAAACCATTGCTAGGTTTATTTGGAGAAAACAAAACCCTACCTGAGCATGCCTCACCAAGAATTCAAAGATGGGCTATCACACTAACTGCATACAATTATGAATTGAAATACAAACCTGGATCTGAGAATAGTGCAGATAGTCTTAGTAGATTACCTTTAAAAAACCAAAGCCTGAGCTATGTACCAGAAGATGTATTTGTTCTCTTCACTATCATGGATAACTCCAATATAAATGTGAATGATATTAAGAGAGAAACACAAAAAGATGAGTGCTTAATAAAAGTATATGAGTACTGTAAGAATGGTTGGCCTGAAGAGTCTATGAATGATGACTTAAGGCCATATACAATAAGAGAAATGGAATTAAGTCTAAAAGATGGAGAAGATGCAGTCCATTATCAGTCAGAGTTGCCTAAACAAAGTATTTGTAACTTAATAAATGATTATGGTGATATGGCAATTTCAAATGTTTTAAAGAGAATACATTAGTAAGAAGGAATGTGATCATCAAACAACTTTGCTAACATCATTAGCACTTACAGAAACTAAAAGGGTAACATCAAAAGAAAAGAAAAAAGATTTTTGCCATTTAATACACCCATTTCAAATACTGGATCACAGTTGCAAAGTGATATGGTCCAGAATATTACTCATAAACAGTATTTTTGGTTACCAGGAAAGCACTATCAGATTACCTGAGAAAATTGATCAATCAAAGAAATCTATGTCAATTAAGGATCTGAATAATAGCATAATACTTTCAGATGCCAATTCAAAAATAGTTCCATTAAATCATGACAACTCATGCATTGAAAGAGAATTTGGTGTTAATAAGAATGTGTATCTAAGAAATTATGGGAGAAAGGAAAAATGGATACCAGGTCAAATTGTTCAATGTACAGGACCTGTGCCTTATAAAGTTAAAAATAACTTGTGCAGATAATAAGTGTGAATCTGTCAATCCCACCAAATCTGATCAGTTCACACCAACTCAGTTTGTTCCACAACCAAGTTCTGTTGATATGAGTGAACCAAGTGGTCTGGAGTCAGAAAATGTAAATTCTGGAGTTAATGATTTAAATCCTAGACCTCCTGAGATAGAGAATCCAGATGGTCAGAATCTTGAGTCACCAAATCAAAAGCCACTGAGAAGGTCAAGCAGGACAATCAAAGTCCCAAATAAGTTAGACCTATGATTTTAAAGGTCAAGAGGACTTTGACATTATTGTTTGGTATTTTAATTATGTTGTAACATATTGTGCATTGTTTGTAAGGATGTAATCTACCATAGTGTTCATGTTACAATATAATTGGTGATTTTAGGATACTATCAATTGTTCTATTGAGAGATGTGTTATTGTGTTCTAAGGGTAAAGGGATGTAATAGATTGAGATAATTGTGAGGTCAAGGGAACTCACTCTTCTGTATTAGTATTATATTTATATTGTTATCTTGAGTGATGTCCCTTACATATATATAAATAGTTGTCTCTCGTCATTTCCGTCCTCTCTGTGTGATACCATCATGTAGTTAGACCCAATAAACGTTATATACAACCACATGCTTCTATCGTCAATCTATTATAGATTGATTGATTAAATGATTAATTGATTGATTGATTAATTAATTGATTGATTGATTGATTGTGTGGTTGATTGATTGATTGATTGATTGATTGATTGACAGATAGACAGACATATAGACAGATAGACAGACAGACAAATAGACAGATAAAGATATAGATAAAAATACAGATATCGATATAGATATAGATATAGATAGATGTATTTGTGTGCGTAAATATATGTTTGTATTGTGGTGTGTGAGCTTGTGTGCGACAGTCCGAAAAAGTTAAATAATTACGGTGTATGATTTTCGTTCGTTAAAACTTTACTCGACGCCAATTAAATTCTCATTAAGATGCGTTTTCCTTTTGCAAAAGATTAGTAATGTCAGAAGAAAAAAATATGAATGATCTGAGTTTAGAGGGTAGTTTGTAGCACGCGCTAATTTGTTAAGACCAACCTTTTTTTACTTTCTCGTATATACGAAGTATAGAGAAAGTATTGTAATCGTGCAAAAAAAAAATCGAGATTTTTACAAATCTCGACGTTTTACACCTCACTGATACGGAAAAACATAATTTTGCAATCTTGTCCGTATGTCTGTGTGTGTGTGTGTGTGTGTCTGTGTGTCCGTGTGTAAACACGATTACTTGAGTACCGTTACAGCTAGGTTGATGAAATTTCATATATAAGTATTTTATCAAAATCGTAGATCCGTATCAACTTTTGAGCGATTTTCGATAACCGGAAGTGGTACTTTTTCTACTTTGAATTTTTCAAAAGCCTATAACTTGAGTACTATTTCAGATAGATACATGAAATTTCACATGTAAGTAAAAGATCTAATTCTCTACCTTCTGTTAAATTTTGAGTAATTTCCGTTGACTGGAAGTAGTAATTTACGCTACTTTCGATTTCTCAAAAAACGAAAGTAAATTTTAGAAGTACTAATAATATTGCGCACTATTATGCGCTTTTTTTATTTGGCGTTCACTTGGTGTGCAATTAATTTGTCTACGAGATTTTATTCTATTTTTAAAACTTTAAGTATTTAAAATGGATTAAAAATCCTGTCTATAGCCCGAGTTCCCATCCCCTGTTATTTTATATAAGAATATTCGAGAAAGTTTAGGGGAGATCACTCCCGGTTTATTATTACAAGCTTTTATTTAACTCACTTCCTCTGTCGACAGTCTGTCGACAGTCTGTCTGTCGTCAGTCTAGATCGAAACGCAGGAGTGAAAATTCGGACAGTTCTACTTGACCGATACGATTCACAGTTGGCACGTGGGTCAAGACATGAAGACAATGCAATCTGAAACTAAATTAGACTTAATTGGATGCCTTATTAATTTTTTATGAATTAATTAAAATTTGGACCGAATTAGTAGGAATGTCTATCCAACCACACCACACGCGTCATCACGTTCAATAGCTGCGCCATCAGGTTTAATAGCTGCGCCATCACGTTCAATAGAGGCGCAATGGTTTTTAGTCATGTAACACTATCGTAAATAAAACGTGTAAAGTACTGAATTTTTTTTTCATAAAAAACGTTTTAATAACAAGCTTTTATGTAATGATGCACTAAAAAGTAGAAAATAAATTATACACTACTATTTAAATTACTATAAAGAAAAGCGTGGGTCTCTTCTCAAATATTAGTAAAGGTATCCAATAGGTACTAAAGAACTAAAGTGACCCACGCTTTTCTTTATAGTAATTTAAATAGTAGTGTATAATTTTCTACTTTTTAGTGCATCATCACATAAAAGCTTGTTATTAAAACGTTTTTTATGAAATTTTTTATGTTCTATCTTTGGAACAGTTTATTTTGTGATATGGTACATAGATGGATTATAAGTTTGTTAGAATAAGGTCATACAAGTAACATACAAGATCAACTTATCAGAAACAGTTATTGTACGCATTGGAATACGAAATGGGTATTTCGTTTACTGTTTGATTGTATAACGAAACCAGCTAGAGGAAACAAACAGGAATCCAACTGGACACAACAGCTCGAAGTCTTGGATTTCGCAGATCTGCGCTGCCTTCTCGTACACAGTCAACAACAAATGCAGAACTAATTGTACTGGTTAAAGAAGCCGTAGTAACCGGTTTAATGATAGTAGCTGACGCCCATGACGTTCTGATTAGAATCAGCAGCGATAAAACGCGTTTTAACATTCTATGCCAATGTGGAATTCAAATGCATTATTACAAAAATTCAATCAGAATCTATAGTTTAATGTGAAGTCTCTTTTACTGTATGGCTCGGTGCTAGGTTACAGACAGTGGAGAATGCCCCCCTACCCAAAGAGATGCATGAAAAAAACTCTGCAAATGAATTATGCGGTAATGCCTGTGTTTTTATTATAGAGTATAGATGACGTCATTACTATCGTGTATTTTTCGGCATTGGCTTTTTAATTCAATGTTTACTCGAAAATCAATGACGTCATATTATTGTGTGTACTTTCCGGGCTTGAGAATATTTCCTACTATGTGTTCCATGTGATGTTACGTTTAGTATTCGTATTACTGTGAATGTGTTAACTTTGTGTTTTCTCTATAGTAAAAGCGTTCCCAACAGAGTGACAGACAGACAGCGAAACTATTATTATAGAATTCGTTTCACAATACTATTGTAAGATTGAAGTGCGATGTCATTTTATTTTTTGTGAATGAGTGACGATTGAGATTGTGGAGGTAAAAAAATCTTTTTTTCTCTTTTTCTCCTACACCAGAACAAACATACTTCAATACCTTGCAACGGTTTCAGAAGCCACATTTAAAACATACAATAAAATTCTTCACAACCCTCATCTTTTTTCATTTAATTAATCAATTACTATTAATTGCATTTTGTTTGTTTTATATTTATATTTGTAATGAGCAGACGCATAAAAAATGGACTCTGATGTCAACGTTGCTGCAGTAAACCAGTCCAGCGTATCAAGCCCTAAGATGGAAGTCATTGTCATCACCGTGTATTTGAGTATATTCTGTGTTTTCGGAACAGTCGGTAAGTATGATAAGAAACATCTTAAAAATTCTATCCGACCTATTTCACATTGTCTGGTCGCAACAAAAGTGCTACCTGCTGAGCCCAGCAAGTTTTAACTAACTGAATCCCACCTGTTCATTGCGGGCATTTGCTGCAAAATTAAATATATCTTTATTTTTAAGATATTAGCCACTATCATAATCTTATGTACATATTTTGATTAAGCTTTTAACTAAGCCTTCATTATTTCACATTATAAGCCGCCAGTGTCATTTCGCACTTTCTCGCACTTCCGTCATTCAGTCATCGGTATAGCCTCTTTGTCTTCGTTTTTTTTAAGTTGGAGAATGTGGTCATCCAAGTGGAAGTCTCTCCTTGTGCGCGGACGCCCGGATAAACATGTTGTTTGGTGGCGGTTTAAATAATGCCGCGGTTGGGGGAGAAGGGATATCTAGGCGGACGTTCATGAGAGCGATGGGCCATATTATTTGTACCGTAGCTTAAAAGCGCACCCCCCCCCCCTTAAGGAAAGGCCAGGGCGCTTTACTGTAATAGTCTGTTTTCTTAACTTCGACTGTATAAAATTAAGTAGCGCAGCTCAAAACCTTAAGGTTGGCGCCTGGGCTGCTGCCGCACCCGCTCTTCCTTAGCTACGCCTCTGTTCAGGCGTATACAACATCTTTCTTTATGTAGAGAGGAGCGTAGGGGAAGGCTGGGCAAATGGGAGAGATTTTTCATATATATATATTTTTTAAACTACCAATAATTATGAATCTGAATATTTCAAAACCTTCTTCATCTTCTTTCAGCAGCTAGAACGGCTGTTTCCCTTTTTTTAAAACCAATGCTTAAGTTTTTTGTTTCACGCTTTTGCAGATCTGTTTGTTGGATTCATATCTTCCACTTCTGCTGTTTCGTAAATCCCACATTTGTAGTTTCATACTTCCACATCATTTGTTGTTTTAAACCTCCCATGTCTATTTTTTACTGTGACCTTGCTGTGTTGTGACAGCTTTGGTGGTCCAATACCCTCAGAGTTACGCCGGCGGTAGCATAGCTCCAGACAGGTCCATTACGAAAGAGACAAGACAAAAGGTGCATCAACCTCCCCAAGATTTTGGGGTTTTGCGATAGGACGAAAATCTGGCCATGGGAAAAAACGCCGTCACAGAAACCGATGAAGACACAAAACCACAAAACACTGTAAGAGACTAGAGGAGAGCTCAACAAAGGAGATTTAGGAAGAGGGGCGGTGAAAGTCAAGTGAATCCAGCAATGCCGACTACTCTCTCAAACCAATGAGAAAGAAACATTTCCTCATCCAACAGACACCTCTTGGGAAAATGAAATGTCCGAATTCTGTAAGAACCTCAAGATGCTAAACTATAAAGCTACATATTCTGGGACCAAGTGAAGTACGTTTGGACAGTTTTGGACTGACTAGATTACAATCAGGTGAAACTCTTCTTTTCTCTGGAAAGGCAGAAAAAAATAATTCGTAAAGAACGTTTGAATAACAAACTTTTATTTAAACAACTATAAAGAAAAGTGTGGGTCACCAATACCTTTACTAATATTTAGGAAGAGCAGGGGCGTAGCGAGGGGGGGGGCGAGGGGTGCGGACCGCACCGGGTGACACCATTTAGGGGGGTGACACCAAGGCAAAAAATAGCAAAATATATAGAGAAAAACTTGAGGGGGGGGGGGTGCAAATCGAAAGTTTGAGGGGGGGGGGGGGGTGTGCAAATCGAAAACTTGAGGGGGGGGGGGTGCAAATCGAAAACTTGAGGGGGGGTGCAAATCGAAAGTTTGAGGGGGGGGGGGGGTGCAAATCAAAAATTTGTCCCCGGGAAGGGTCGCTACGCCTCTGGGGGGGTGACACCATTAAGTGCCGCACCGGGTGACACCCGAGTCGCTACGCCACTGAGGAAGAGACCCACGCTTTCCTTTATAGTTATTTAAATAGTAGTGTATAATTTATTTTCTACTTTTTAGTGCATCATTTACATAAAAGCTTGTTATTAAAACGTTTTTCGTGAGTATTTTTTCAGTACTTTTAAAAAATCTAAACAGAATTACATGACTAAAAACCAAGGCGCATCTAAAGAACATGATAACGCGCGTATAATAGTGCTGAATAGTTGGATAAGACGTGATGACGCCCTATTGAACGTGATGACGCGTGTATAATAGCGCGGAATAGCCTACTAATTTGGACACAATTTTAATTAATTCATAACAAATTAAATTAGCATCCATTAAGTCAAATTTAATGTCACATTGCATTGTCTTCATGTCTTGACCCCCCCTTGCCAAATTTGAACCGAATCTGTCAGTTAAAAAGTGCCCAAAATTTGACTCGGACGTTTCTATCTAGACAGACAGACAAACTGACGACAGACTTACGACTGACTGTCGATAGACAGACTGAGGAAGGAAGTTAAATAAAAGCTAGTAAAAAAGAAATAGACACCTACGAAAATGCAGTAGCAATCTTTCTAAGCAGAGATGTATTTAAAAGCCTCTTGGAGTGGGAACACGTCTCAGAACAGATAATGAAAGCCAAATTCTTTTCAAAATTCAAGAATGTACACCTCATCATGTGCTATACCCCAACCAAATTTACATCTGAAGAAGAAGAGAAAAAAAAGACATTCTATGAACAACTACAATGTATGTAGTACCTACGAATGCGAAAATTGGTAATGTTAATCAAGAGATTAATTTAAAAAATGGGCACACACAGATTCGGCGGCACAAATGAAAATAGAAAGTTGTATGCTGACTGGTGATAAGAGGCTGCATCTTTCCATACAAAATATGTCACAAAACAAAAACCCTAATTAACCATATTACTAAAAGTAGAAATTGGAGAAGCACATTACTAGATGAACGAGCAAGAAGAGGATCAGATATTGGATCAAACCACAATTTGGTGGTCGCAAATCTAAAACTAAAGCTGGCATACCATAAACGAGACCTAGAGAAACTAAAGAACACACAGACAAGATTTTTCGCTCTGCACCCTGATAAAATGAGGAAGCCATAGACAAAACGTGGGATAATTTAAAAGAAGCTATCATAAAAAATGTAATGAAGTGTTACGCCATGAACCCAACAACAAGAAAAAAACATTGAATTAGAAACGAGAAGTGGCATTGAAAATGAATTTAGAAATAAACGTCCTCGAATATTCTTATGTAACACTTAGGGGGATGGCAACTCGGGATATAGAAATGCTTTTTAATACATTTTTAATTACTTAAACTTTAAATTTTTTCATAAAAAACGTTTTAATAACAAGCTTTTATGTAATAATGCTCTAAAAAGTAGAAAATAAACTATACACCACTATTTAAAGAACTATAAAGAAAAGCGTGGATCACTTTGGTATCTAATGGATACCTTTACTAATATTTACGAAGAGACCCACGCTTTCCTTTATAGTAATTTAAATAGTAGTGTATAATTTATTTTCTATTTTTTAGTCCATTATTACATAAAAGCTTGATATTAAAACGTTTTTTATGAATTTTTTTAGTACTTTGCATGTTTTTATTTACAATAGAGTTGCATGACTAAAAAACCATTGCGCACCTATTTAACGTGATGAGACCCTATGGAACGTGATGACGCGTGTCAAATAGCGCTGAGTAGTTGGATAGAACTGCCTACAAATTTGGTCAAAATTTTAATTAATTCATAAAAAATCAGGCGACTAATTAAGTCAAATTGAATGTCATGATGCTGGTTATTTAGCGCCCTAGGCAAAACTTATTAAAACGCCCCCCCCCCCCCCGCAATTTCATTCCTGCCCCATTTATATATATATATATATATATATATATATATATATATATATATATATATATATATATATATATATATATATATATATATATATATATATATATATATATATATATATGTTACCGAGTCTATTCGCAGCGCCAAATGTTACCGAGTCTATTTACTTGTGCTATCTTTGACCAGCACACAACATCAACCACAATACAGATACTCGGAAGTGCAGGTTTACATATATCTCTTTATTACATGAATCAATAGAAATGCTCCACATAGCAATGCATCAATGTTCCACAAGAATACAATGAACCAACTGACCCCCACTGTCCTCACTAGTTCTCACACATCAGAATACACGAGTCCATGGTTCGGGCTTCCAAACCTATTCTCACAAATCAAAACACGTCTCTACAGTTCAGTCTTCAACTTCTTTTCTGCTCTTCTGTCCTGCAGTCTTATTATATCCCTCGTATTCGTAATCGTTTCTATCCGTTGCATCATAACTATCAACTCCGCACTTCTGTCGTATCGCTTCCCAACTACGCAGTGGCTTTGTATTTGTTATCAGTCCACACCACCTGCATCCGTTGCATCAGCCCAGTTTGGCCTTGATCGTGTCTTAATTGACAGACTGTACTGCGTTCTTATCAATCGTCTTTAGTAACTACACTAGTTACATCCACCCCCGCCGTTTTTTTTGTGTGTTCTGAACCACAAACAATGTTTGGCAGGTGCACTTCACCAATGTCAAACGTAACACCATAAAAAAAAATTACTGTTCTACTTACTGTCAATGTCGTCACATTCATAAAAGATTGACAGTTATCCCTATTTCGAAATATTAACTGTGTCTACATCATATTCCTCAGACACAAAGCAGTTCTACAATTCACATCCACCCCCGCCGTTTTTTCGTTTGGTGTCATCACCAGTTCACTTTTATAGCTTTTGAACAGTCTGTCCTCATACCAGTGCGACCATGAAAGAATTGATGGTTGCTGACGAAAAATTTCGTATTCTTTCTGTTCCTCAAACTTCTCCGCGGACCACTTATCTGATATTCTACTGTCTCTCTACTTCTGGGAGGACCGGGATCCTCATTGTTGCAGTTATCCTCCACTTGTGTATCGCTGTTGTGCTGTTGATGGTGACATGGTTCCGGGATGGGTATGTGAATTTCCGTGTAAGTTTCTGGTTCCCTAATTGTCTTA